GTCTTGCCAGGTGGCTTCCTGGTTGTTGATGTCCGCGTCCGCTTGTTGCAGCATTTCCCAAGTTGCGGGGTCGTCGGTGGGGAAAAACCTATAGTTAGCCTCTGGGTTCCTCTCCAGCGCGAACTGCAAGCGGTCGACGAAGACCGGGCAACTGCGATCAGCCGCCCCGTGTCCCCTGTGTGGGCGTTTCGCAGCTCTGCAATTCGCACACGACCGCGCCGTGTCCGGAACCACGCATTCGTCAGTTCGGTGCATCTCCCCGCAACGCGCGCACATCTCATGCACCGATGGGCACGTCGCCGCCGTGTGGTTCGTGCCGATCACTTGGCACTTCAGGCACCTAATGGGCTCTGAGAGTAACTTCCGCGCTGTAACACGCCGCCCGTCCACAAACAGGCAGTGTCTGATGGCGTGGTTCGCCGATTCCGCACTGGCGAACCCGAAGATTGCATGGGCCGATTTTTGCCCCGGGTTGCGCCTCTCCGGCGGCTTGATAAAGCGCGCCTGCACTATCTCCCCCCGTCCGAGCGCGTTCGCGTCCTCAATCGTGCCGAAAGCGTGTTCGAGGGACGGGTCAAACGTCACCGGAACGAATTCTACCACCACAGAAAATGAACGAGGTTTGTATACTGACGTACCTCCCATCCCTTCCAGGAATAGCTTCATACGCCGCGCGTTACGGATCCATTCCGCAGCCATTGCTGATGAGAGATGGAATACCACCCCGCCGTTGCGCACGATGTGCGCCCCGACGAATGCAGCCTTCTCGGGCGCGGTGTCCCCGAGCTCCGTCTTGACCGCAGCAAGCGCGATGTTTGCCTTCGCGACAAGCTCCTTCTCGGTGAGTTTCGTGAGCCCGTGTGTCCCGACCATCGGCGAGCGCGCCACCATAATCTGCCGCTCCCTCGCGTTCGCGTTGGCCACCGCCGCCGCATGTCGCAAAGGGGTGGCGCCTGCGCGTGCCGCCCCCGCGTACGACTTCGGGGGCGTAGTCTCATTCCCGTTCGGCGCGTCTGGCGCCTTCTCCGCGCGTTCTAGGATCTCTGTGACGCCGTTCCCCAGGCGCTCCGTTAGCGTGTATAGCTCCGCGCTCTGTTCCTCGACGGTACGTGTTAATACTTCTGCTGCTGCGCGCAGATCATGCGCGGCCCCCTCGTTCACCCCCAGGGGTGCAGTCTCCTTCGACAGGTTCAAAAGTAGCTTCACGTCGCTGGCGATGCTGTCAATAGCTGCCCGTACACGGTGTCCCTCGATGAGGTACGCCACCGCGCGTAGCGCCTCGGACGTGACCGCCGATACTCCCACAGCAGCAGCTGCCCGTAGCAGTACGAGGGCGAGCGTGTCGAGGCTGGGGGCGGGGTCGCAATCGTCCGATATGAAACCTTTCTGTACCAAGTAATCTCGTGCGAGCTCGGGGCCCGGTGCAGTCTCCGGCGCCATCGCGAGCCAGTTGAGCGCACTCAACTTATATAGTTCCTTTCTGCTCTTTCCCGCCTGCGCATTCATTGCTGGGTCCGGCGTTGCGCGCGTGAACGGTCGCGGGACTGGTGTCTTCTTTTCCGGTGCTTTTGGGCCGTTTTTCGGTGTTTCTTTTGCTGGGTGCCCGCTAGATGGGCCGAACATATAGTACTATAGATACAAGGAGCAGGTAGGTAGAAGCTAAGGACCACTACGAGCAACGATGCGTGCCCCGAAAAGTTTTCGGTGGCGTTGATCAATTTGCTTGTGGTGGTTTGTTGCCAAGAGAGTCCTCTCTGGGTAATAACTTGTGAAGAAGAACTGCAACACATTATTCAACTTCCGCTCGTGACACATTTTTTGGCAGTCAGTTCAACTCGCCTCGCATCGAATAAATCAACCCCGGATTTCGTAGATTGATCATCGGTCGACCCGGCCACATCCCATAGACGTCACAGTATAAACATAGCGGTAGTCTGAGAATAACTTTCACCGCGCTCCACTCGATTGATATTTAGATTGAGTTTATTAAATCTGCAGCTGAGCCATCAATCGCGCCGCATCACTATCCTGAGTCTTATCCTTCCGCTGCGGATTTCGCGCCGTAGTATCGGATGCACATCAGTCGACGGTAGAGTCTTATTCTTGGGATGATCCAAAAATATATATATAGACGCATAGATAACTCTAACTTTAAGGGCGACTCGGAGTTTCAATGCTCACAGAGTGAAAAACCGCCGCGTGAAGTTGCTGCATCTGTAAGTATCACGCGGTCCTTCATCAGGTTTCGACGGTGTCGCTCCGCCTCTTCCCTCGAGAAGCCCCAATATGCGGAGTCCAAAATCCGCTGCACAAGTTCGGGCGGCAGATTTTGATCGGTGAGATGCCGGCAGATGAATGGGAGGAGGAAGCGCAATGTTCTGATGTTCGTCATGCGCACTTGGGAAGGTATGTCAGACGAAGTCAGGACCTGGTTCTTAAGCCCCTGAAAGGAGACTCCATGATACGACTCATTCTCCTCTTCGTCGTCGTCGTCCACCAAGAAGAAGCAGAGCTGCAGAAAAGTGAGCAATGGCTCGAACAGCTTGAATGACTACGAACAATCTTCCTTTTTGCTACGTAATCCTCTGCAATTTGTTCGGCCACGGAGAGCTTCCCGACTTGATGCTACTCTGCGATTCAGGAAAACGTCCTCGACTGTCGGGTCCTTACGGTACGTACCTGTATCCAGTTGGGAAACGAGAGAATACGACCGGTACCAGAGCTTTCGCTGCCTACAGTCTTATTTGTGATAAAGTTTGTCGTTGGGACGGTCCCCAACTCAAGATATTGCCCAAGCGAACTCGTGTAACTTCCATCCCAGTCACTGGGAAAATCAGAGGTACTATCTGACTTCGCTCCGTCATCTTCGTCGTCTTCGTAATCGTCAGAGTCATAGTCAGAGTCGTAGTCGTCGTTGTCGTTAGACTCTGAGGCCTCGGGTCGAAAGCTAACAGTGAACGACTGCACGAATTAGCATTGGTTTGAGCGATGTCCTGACAAAATACCTCGTGCCGGTAGTCCTCAATGGTTGGGAAGTCAACGGCCGGCTCTCGTCCTTTCCGGAATTTCAGCCCTTGGTCGATGATGGCTTGGTCAGTGTCGTAGTAGTATATGACAGAGGCTACGATTTTTTCATGGGGCTAACAACAAAAACATCAGCAGGGCCTTCGAAAGAAATACAATGGGATCTCACCATCCCTTCCATATGCCATGTCCCCTCGTATGTCTGTCCAGCCTTGAGCTGATAGTTTGCGGCCTCGGGCACAGGTCAGGAAACTGTTATTTTGGAACGGTGCGTAGTACTATACCTTGACAATAACTTTGAGTTGCCGCCCTTTAAACGGAAACACGTTTCCGTCGTTTGTATCATCTATCGCAAATTTCAACCGATCGGTCGAGGCTATGTCTGTCTCCTTGGGTATGCCTCGCTTCATTTCTTCCAACTGGGCATTTTCAAGATGCTTCTTTGCAGCTTGGTCTTTGAGGAATTTCTCCCATTCCGAACGTCTCATTTTTCCGCCCCACTCCGTCCGCATCAGCCATCTTTCTTGCCATCTGTATACTGATATTTTGAGGACGGAACATTGAGGATGGTTTTGAGAACTGCGAAGAGGTTACGCACCAGACGGTGAATAATCGTGCTTGTATTCAAAGCCCAACGTGCTTTCAAAATGGGGGAGAGCCAAAAGGAACACCTTCTCAACAATGCGATACAACCGAGGAAAGTGTTCTCGCGGTCCAAGGCCGTTGATATACGATTGAATATGAACATCCTTGCCATCATCTGAAACGTTGAAGAGCGTTGGAATCCATGCGTATTGCGAGCGTAATTCAGTTGTTTCGTGTCCCAGTGTAACCTCTGTTGCGTATATGGATGGAAGCAGTGAAGATTTGGAAGTATCATCGAGCGGACTTTCGCCGAGGACCAAAGGATCTTGTGGGTATGCGGGTTAGAAGGCAGATGCAACTGAAAATGAAATACGTACATAATGAGGGATGAATGAGATCCTGAACCTGAACTATGTTTTAAAAAATGGCTTCTGTCATGGAGGTCGTTATTTACCTTTCCGTGGCTCCCAGGATGAAGGTCAAGAGGCTCTCTCTGTGCAAGCGCGTCGAGGTAGAGCACGAGCTATGATCCGAATATGAATAAACACTACTTGGGTAGTAGTGAAAACGATGTACCTCGCGATGCAATGAAGCCGGAACCAGGTCATCAGAGATGAAAACACCGACTTCTTCAGACAAGTTCGACGGGGCGCGGACCCCATAAGGCGACAAAGCCGCATACCTCAGAGATGAAAGTATGTCCGAATCAAAAGATTCTAAATCTACACTCGAGTCCGGTTCCTTAAACGCAATAGGATTGTCCACCCGGATATTCCAGTCGACAAATACAGTGCGTTGTGCTTCATTCTTCAGTTCCCTTCCAGATATTGGGGTCAAAAATTATCAGAGTCCCGGAAAGTGCCTTACTCGAGCGCAGCGGCAACCTCCGCAGTTATGGAGGTGCTTGAATCCACAAGGCCGGCCTCCGTTGCCCACTTGAGGTCCAAATTTCGCGTTCGATCAAGTATTTTGTGGTACCAGTCCCCTTTTTCCCGGACGGCATTGCAGAAGTCAGCTATCGAGGGGGGATCGATGGCCACGGGTGAGTTGGGCACCAAGGTGCCCATGCCCATGCTCATGTCGGAACTTGAAGTGCTGGAACTTCTGGAGGGTCGTATGAGAGGCCATCAGCGCCCATTTGCCGAATCTAATAAGCACAACCCGTATAACCCGTGAGTATGACGGGGCATGAGCGCTCCGTGTTGGGTTGCCGTCAAGTCACCTAAATATGTTGCCGTATACATAGCTTGAGTTTTTAGCTGCAGCCGTTTCAAGTCCACAGCGTGTTGGAATGAAAGTACTAGTAGAGAGTGAAAGAAGAGGCAAAGGAGCCATCAAACTTTCCAGATTGCCCGACATAGACATGGTATTTTTGGGGACCCCCTCAACAAGGCCGTGTGGCAAAATGGTTACTGCGTTGCTTTCCGATTTCCGTGTTCTCTACGCGGTGGATAGGCAGAGACTGTGGGTTCGAGTCCCACCATGGTCGTTCTTTTTATTCATTTTTTTGCCCGTGCGGAATAGTACAGAAATAGACAGAAATACTAACAAATACCAGTTGAGACGTACACAAGCGGTGAAGCTGAAGCTTGCTCCCACCTAAACCAAATGCGAGAGAAACACAAGTGGGTCGCGGATTGAGGGGAAAAGCAAGAAAAATGGCACTGTTACACACTCCAGACACACTCATCTACACGTTCTCCTCTATTTTACAAGGTCCAATGCGACGTGTTAAATTCAAAAAGTAGGGGTCTCAAACGTATTCTCATGGTCTGCAACGAATCACATCAGCCCAACAACTATCGAGTGCAATGTAAACGCGACGCACCCTTGCCGTTAGCATAGATGTAGTCCCTTTCCTTCGACGCGAGATGCTTGATGAACGACTCGAGTTCGTGTGCGCTGACCGCGACCTTGGGGTTGGAGAGCGCTCCGCCGCGAATGGCGGCAGCGGCAACGTCGTAGCGGGAGGTGTGGTTGCACAGCATCATCTACGTGAAAGGATTTAAGCGACGATAACCTGGAAGTGGTGTTCATCAACGTACATCGAACGGTGAGGTCGTTGTGCCCTCCTCACTATATCTATAAAAACCGCCATGAGAACAGATCCAATAGAGTACAACGGAGCAGCGCACCCTTCGATCGACACCCTGTCAAGTTTCGGACGGCCGAAGAGAAGGCCCTTGAGCTCGATCGGATACCCGTGGTAGTTGAAGTGGATCGGCTTGTCGGGCGTGAAGAGCGAGTCAAACGCCTCGTCGCTGAGTGCATGCGGGTGGGAGCCGGTCGTGCTGAGGATCATGAGATCCGTGACGTTCACGACGCGTACGCGCAGCTCGGGGACGTGTTTGCGCAGGAAGGCCGCCGCGGCGATGACTTCGAAGGTGACCTCGACACCGATTCCAACGAGGACGCTGGGGTGGTGTCAACAGGACGAGGGCATGAATCAAAATCTACTTACACGTCGGGGTCAACGCCGTCGTCGACACTCGCGAATTTCCAGACGGAGGCTCCGGCGATGCAGTGCTATGAAACGAAATATATATATATTTAATGTTGATGGCGCAATGGTTGGCACGGGCGACCATACCTTGTCCGCGTCTTCCGGTGACAGCCACACCGGTGTTGGCTGCTTGCTGCCGACCATGAGATTCACGTAGTTCTTTGCCCGCAGGCAATGCGACATCGTCGACAGGAAGCAGTTTGCGTCGGGCGGGAGGTACGCGCGCGCCTGTTTAGGTTTGAGGTTGAGGACCGCGCCGATGAAGGCACTGCAATAGCGGGCGCATTAGCACGATGAGGTTAAATGAAGACAGGGGACACATACGGGTTCTGGTGAGAGAAGCCGTTGTGTTCCTGACGCGCCCAGGTAGACGTCTCAAGGTAGTTGAGCGATCCGCCAGGCTGGCGCCATGGACGTTCGGCCCCCTGCCAAACATCTTAGACTCGGGGGGAAAATGGAAAACAAGCGACGCACCATCTTCGTGAACTTGCTATACTGCACCATCATCGTTTGCACGATTCCTAAGCGGTCATCAGCTCGTACACATGGCGAGTCGCTCGCGGGAACTGAGACGAACCAAGGAAGGCTTCGTAGCTGGGGAACAAGCCCGTTCTGCCAGTGAGGGTGTAGCCCTGGAGCATGCCCTGGCAGGTGTGCTCCGACAGAATCTCGACCACACGTCCGCCGTGGCCGCGCGACTCGATGTCCCACTGGAAATTGCGGGAGGTTTCGTCGAGCACTGCGTCTAGCTTGTTGGAAACGAGCTCGTCCGGCGAGAAGATGCGGAACGCATGCGGGTTTCTGGGGGAGAGTAGGTTAAAAACATGGTAGAAGAATATTGTTTGTAAACGCGCACTCCTTGACGACACCCTTGAGGAAGAGCCCCACCGCCTTCATACAGCTTTCTTGCGTGCCCAGCTCGACGCAGAAACTCGTCCACTCGGGGAGAGTCAGGGGCATATACGAGCGGTAGCTTTCCTTCCTCTGCCCAAGCCGCTTCTCCGCGGCCTCGGGCACGAGGCTGAGGACCTCCGGCACGGGCACGCCATCGGGGGTGAACAGCTCGTCAGGCCGGTAGGACTTGAGCCATGTTTGCAGCGCGGCGAGTTCCTCGGCTGAGGTCTTCGCGCCCGGAAGGGGTACTTGGTGGGAGTGGAACGATCCCTCGATGAGCTCGCCATGGAGCTCCTTGGGCCCGCCGAGGCCCTTGGGTGTGCGCAGGATGAGGACGGGCCAGCGGGGCTTGACGATGGGGTTGCCGCTGCGGGCGGCGGTCTGGATCTTCTTGATTTCAGCGAGCGCCCAGTCCATCGATGCGGCGAGTTCGTTGTCGATGTTCTCGACGTCCTCAATGATGCGGACTTGGTACCCATAACCGCTGGGCGCGACGTCAGCGAATGAAAAGATGGAGGGACATATAAGCCATACGTGAAGAGCGCGGTTATCTCCTTGTTATCCATCGTACCATAAATAGTACGTTCAGAGATTTTGAACCCGTTGACGTGCACAATGGGCAGGACTGCACCGGACTCTGCAGGGTCGATGTACTTGAAGCCATGCCAAGCGGTAGCGGTCGGCCCAGTTTCAGCCTCGCCGTCGCCCACCACGCATGCGACGACAAGGTCTGGGTTGTCCATCACGGCGCCGAAGGAGACGCTAAGTGCGTAGCCGAGCTCTCCGCCCTCATGAATAGCGCCGGGTGTTCCAGCGTTGATATGACTATAGTGTGTATCATTAGATCAGTGTTCTATGCGCATAAAATAAATGGAGCGGACCTGGGAAAGCCTCCTGGGACGCTGAAGCTTGCAATGAGATTGTGAAGGCCCTTGTAGTCGCGTTTGTTTTCGGGGTAGAAGGCGCCGAGGGAGTCCTCGAGCCAGAGGCAAGACAGAATGGCAGGAGCACCGTGGCCTGTCCTAAGTTAAGATGAGGAATTTAAAGGAGGCGATAATCGCACTGACCTGGTCCCACGACATACAACGCATCCAGACCAGTCTTGCAGATGAGCCTGTTCAGGTGAGCGTAGACCTACGCACGAATTAGACATGGGGCATCGATCAAGAGACCAAGTACCATGATGAGTCCAGGGCAAGTTCCCCAGTGACCTAGGAGACGCGGCTTGATGTCCTCATGGGTAATGTCGCGTTCAACAAGGACATTGTGGTTGAGAAATATCATTGCTGTCGTTGTGTATTAGTACAGGTCGCGAAAAGAATGGGAGGGCATACCCGCTGCGATATAATCTGCAGCCCTACGGAACATCTTGATGGCTTTGAGCTCCTCGCTCGAGAGATAGTTCTTGGTATCCAGTTGGATGCTGTACTGGAGAATAGAGTCCGGTAGCAGCGAAGGGTCCGCTGGTGGATTAGCTTGGAGCAGGATTTGGCCAGGCATTGCAGGAGATGTCGGAATTGGCGAGCAGTCAGCCTTTTTATAGTTGAGAATATACGTCATGGCAAGCGCGTCACGAACTAGGCCATGGTGGCCCGCTGAATTGAAGCCTATCGTGTAGTCTCATGACAGATTGCCTTAGCTTTGACGAGGAACGTCCTTGAGTGTTCTGGTGTCAAGTTCTGGTCCAAGTTCGACTCGGAGGGTCCCGACCGCTTAGTCAGACTTGCACATTCCCTCGCATGTTCGCTTTCTTTTCTTCCAGTCAGTTCTTGCCCCTCCGAGTCCTTCAGGGTCGAGCAGAGTCAGATATCTGGTTCTCCTCTACTGTAACAATATCTTTTCTTCAGGAATCTGGCTTCCATCTTGAAAATTCGTCTCAAATTGGCCTGATTTCTGCAAAATGGGGCATCCGAGTGTGTGCCACTCTCTCGGCCTCAATAGTGCCTCAATTCAATAGTGCCTCAATTCAGAATTAGAATGATCTAGACTTCATGTCTTTCCCTCAGTTCCTGTACACTCGCCGACGAGACGCTCCATCGACGTCATTTCGGGCTAGGTCTCGAGGTTTTACTTAGGGATGCTCTACGTTTCCGAATCTACTTCGACAGCTCATGTCTACCAATAATCTCGTACTATCTGTCAATGCGGGGTCGTCCTCTCTCAAGATATGCCTGTACCGCGTCTTGCCCACTGGCGACGACCTTGAACCAGTCGAACTAATACTGACTTCCTCAGTATCCAACATCTCTGCTCCGCCTGTGAAATTCTCGTTCAAAGTTGTAGGAGGTTCCACCAAGGATGATGAACCGCCATCCGTCCACGACCACGCTTCCGCCTTCGCGCATTTTCTCGGCTGCCTCAACGAGGAAGCAGACATAGATTCCACGAAAATTGCGCATATCTGTCATCGCGTCGTGCACGGCGGTGACTATACAGACCCCGTTGTGATCAACGACGAGGCGTACAAGCACATCGAGCGGCTGTCCGACCTTGCACCTCTGTAACCCATTTATTCATTTCCTTGCCCGTTGAAACTGATCCCATTCTCCCAGCCACAACGGCGCGTCTCTGGCCGTCATCAAGACCTGTCCGTCTCAACTTCCAAAGGCGAACTCGATCGCATTTTTCGACACGGCATTCCACCGGTCGATCCCCGCGCATATATCTAGCTACGCCATTGACCAGAAGGTCGCGAATGAGCGTGGGCTGAAGAAGTATGGCTTCCATGGTCTGAGCTGTGCGCGCGCTGTGATTTTTCTCTTCCAATATCCCCAACTGACGACGAATTCCAGACTCCTTCATCCTGCGCTCGGTCTCGCGCTTTCTCCAGAAGGTGCCATTTACTTCATCGCATCTTCCCCACTGACCTACCCCACAGCCCGCCGCTTCCCTCAACCTCATAATCCTGCACCTCGGATCCGGTGCGTCGGCCTGCTGCATCCAGTACGGGCAGTCCCTCGACACCTCGATGGGCCTAACCCCGGTCAATGGTCTACCCGGCGCGACCCGCTCCGGCACAGTCGACCCCTCACTCATCTTCCACTACACCAACAAGGCGGGCCGCATGTCGCACGACAAGGCCAGCGCCGTGA